GAATTAATAGTGTCCAAATGGAGAAAACGGTATTATTTATTTATTTATTTATTATTTATTTATTTCAAAATTGATTTACGTGAAATTTATGAAATTTATAAAATATAATTTATAATTTTTGATCAATTTTTAGATGGAAGAAAATGAAAAGACTGTTGAACGTGTATTCCTGGAACGTCATTATCAAGTCGATGCTTGCGCTGTACGTATAATGAAGATGCGTAAATCCCTTAGTTTTACAGAATTGATCAGTGAACTTTTGGGACAACTTAAATTCAAAGCTGAGGTAATATACAAATATATTTTAATTACTAATATATTTTATTATATTCTAAATTTTTAATCTATTTAATATATATTTTTTGACATAAATTAGGTACCAGATTTAAAGAAACGAATTGAATCCTTGATCGATCGTGAATATTTAGAAAGAGGTAGAGATGATCCGACAATTATTAGATATTTGGCTTAAATAAATAAATAATATATATATCTATATATATTAAAAAAGTATTATCCCATCATTTTTTTTATAATCATTTCCTAATATTATTATAATAATAATAATTATAAAAATGTTATTCATGTTGTCATAACGAAAAAAAAAGAGAAAAATAGATTTTAATTAAAATAAATTTGAATATTAACTAATACTCAGAGCAAATCCATTAATTATTTTTCTATTTATTAATATTTTTCAAAGATATCTTTGTAATACAAAAATAGTATAAAAATATAAAATATATAAAATACCTTCAAGAATTTATGGAAAATTTGTGACTATAATTAAGATAATAAATATAATTTGTTGATAATGTAACACATGAAATAATGATAAAATTTGATGAATTACCTGCATTTAGTACAATGGTAAAAGATTGTTTGACCTTCATCAGCTGAACGTAATTGCATTGTATGATAATTCATTTCTTCGTGTCCACATTTTGGACATTTTTCTTTAATCTATTTTTTTTGTGGGTTTATGAAAACATTAATAAAAGAAAGTAATAAGATCAAAATAAATAAATAAATAAAAATAAATTAACACTTGAATAATTGTTTATTATACCGAAGCACTCTCCTCTTTATCAAATTCTTTAATTCTTGAACGTCTTAAACGTAATTTTGAGGGAAAATGTTTTTTATTACTTCTTGTGGTAATTACAACATTATCGAATTCTTTGTTTTAATATCAATTAAATAATAAATTTAATTAAATAATGATTAAATTTTCTGAAAATTCAAAAAAAAAAAAAAAAAAAAAATCGAAAAGACATGGTCGAGATTTCTAAAATATTTATGTAAATGAATTAATAAAATAAAAGTAATGAAATTCAAAAAAAAATTCCCAAGTATTTCGAACATACCAATAGCAACATGCTTGCTCGTACATGAATCGCATTCAATAATGTCCTCTCCATTATTATTAAGCAAATTGCCACAATTTCTACAAAATAGTATAGAAGCCATTATAGTCTTTTTTTTATGATAATTTATTAATATATCAACAATAATCCCTGCTCGTGACTTACCTAAAAAACTATATATAATCGATAATCTTCCTCTTAAAGATTTACATAAGAGTTACGAGAAATTAAAAATAATTTATTATATTATTTCTAATTTTTAGAACTAAAAATTCACAATGGATGACTTTAGTGCCGAGTTTCCACCACTAGAAGATTTTACTACCACTTCAAATGCAACTCTTAATTCAGATCTTGCTACGGATTTTTTAGCCAGAGAACAAGAAGTTCTTGGAAATGATGCATCATTTTTTTCAACTCCTTCCGACCAAATTGTCGAAGTAAACTCTATTCCAGTATCTTCAGTGAATAATAATGTTTTTAATTCCGTAACAACAACAGAATCTAATATTGGCTTACCGGATTATTCTGCTTTTCATTCGGAATTTCCTCCAGTAGAAATTGATGATAATCGGGTATCAAAAAGTTCATTACAGACTTTTCGATTTATTTCAATTTATTTCAATTTATTCAATTTATTCAATTTATTCAATTTATTCAATTTATTTTTACAATAGGCATCAACGACAATTCCTGGAACAAATGGAGTACTTTCTGGTACAAATGGATTATCATCATCATCACAAACAGATGGTTACGAAAATAATTTTCAAAATTTCGATGAAGAGCCAGAAGTCATTCGGTACATACATACATAATATATATATATATATATATATTGGTATCAAATTTTTTTTAAAAATAATAACAATAATAATAATAATGATAATGATAATAATAGGCAATGGAAAGAACGACAAGAAGAACTCATTTCTAAACGAGATAAAGAATCCGAAGATAAAAAACAAGAAACGATTGCTAAAGCACGAGAAGCAATTGACAAATTTTATGAAGAATATAACGAGATGAAAGCAAGAACACATGAAGCCAACAAGTAAATAATATCTGAATATGTTATTTTAAATATATACATATATATTTTTTTTGAATATATTAAATATATGCTTTTTTTTTTTAATATATATACATTTTTTAAATACACATTTATTAAATTCTTTATTTTCATAAAAAGACTAGATGAAGAAGCATTCCTACGAGAAAGGGATGATATAACTTCAGGCACGACATGGGAACGTATTTGTAAGCACGTTGATATTTCAAATTCTCAAAGTAAATCTGCCGCAAAACATGTTAAAGATGTTAGTCGATTTAAAGGTTTACTTTTGAATTTGAAAAAAGATGAGAATGCGCCAGGGGCTGGTGGATATTAATATTAATATTATTTTCATTCCAATGTACACAGAAAAGAAAAAGGATGAATCATGGAATATTTGCATTTTATTATATTTTTATTATTTGTGTCAAAAGAAATATTATGGAATGAAAATTTTATTATATTTTATTATTTGTGTCAAAAGAAATATTATGGAAGGAAAATTAATAATAATAATAATAATTTTATTATTATTGATGATGCTACAAAATTAGGAAGAAACATTAGTTTTTTTTTTTTTTTGCTCTATAAAAAATGTATCAAAAATTATTGTGAAAATATTTCAAACATTTTTAACAATAGATTAATTATATTAATTAATTATAACCAAAAATAAACAAAATAATTATTATATTAGATAATATTATAATTTAATATTTCAAAAATAATTCCTGTGACACATATCAATATATAATAAGACACAAAATTTGGATTGTTATTATAACAACTATTCAAATGTTATCACAATTTTTCATAGAAAATCTCTGGCTGAATATTAGATAAGAATTAAATTATCCAATTGCTTAAAGCTTTAAAATAAAAAATATATATAATATTTGATATATCTCTTGAAATTCATACTGTTAGCTTTCACTAAAACATTTTACAAAGTAAGAAATCCTTGTCACATTAACTACATTCACTCTATAAAATTTTGAACAAATTCCAAGTATTAATTTATACAGGAAGGTTACTTTTTTTCATCCAAAATTATAGTACCATTAGAAGTATTTTGAAAAAGGGACAAGGTGAAAAAATTGCTCCTATATTTTCAAATAAATGACACTCAAATACTAGAAGCTTATCTAAAGATAAAAATAATTACTTATGATCTGTTACCTTTTATTTTTACCTCTATAATTTTTCTTTTATCTGTCACCACCCTCTTTATTATTATTTTTGTTTTTCTTTAATTATGATTTTTACACTTACCTCTATTTTATATCTGTTTTATCCATGTCAATTCACTTACCTTGGCTCTTGTTTTAATTTTGGTCCCTTTGCTGTACCCTCTCTCTTTCAAAACCACCCTTGTTATTATTATTTTTCTTCATTTTCTTCATCCTTATTTATAATTTTTATTTATTGCATCAGTTACATGCCACATGATTTCAAATATATTACAAACTGTATACACTGTGGATACTGCAGACAAATCATTGAAATGCTTAGAGTGAATCACTACACCAAACAAAAAATTACTTCCCAAGATGAAACTATTGAAATTTATGAATACAACTATTGATAACAAGTAAATAAAGTACTTGAGTTTAGTCCAGTAGTTATCAGGAGTTTTTGGAGTATGGAAGAACTTATAATACTAATAAAAATACTAATTTATCTTCTAGAATTAAAATAAAGCAAGATTCCAGGGTATAAATAATAATAGTGTGAGATTAGATAATTACAGGTGACTAAGAAAGAACAGAACAATAGTAAAGAAGATTAAAAAGAGGTAGATATGACAAATGACAACAACAATAAAGAAATTAAAATAAACAACAAATTAAAGAGTTCAAAAAAAGATTTGTATAGACTTGAATAGTTAGAAAAATAAAAAAAGTATAGTTCTGGTTAAGTCATGTGACAAAATGAATAAGAAAAACAAAGTACAGTATAGGATACTTAAAGGCTAAAATAAATTTTCTGTTTTTAAAAGTTAATCTAAAATTATATATAAGCAATACAAAAAAAATAAAGCTGGTATTTTGTAGCTAGACCAATTTGTTATAAAATGTTGATTCTTTTTTTTAAAAATAATTACTCATTATTGAATTATAAGATTTTGAAAAAATAGTGTTTTTATATAATCAATTGTAATCAATTATAAATGAGATATAGAATGTAACCCATTTTTTTTTCATTCTCCAATTGTTCTTTTGCCTTTTTATTCTAGTGTATATCTTTTCAAATGTCTTTTCCTTTGTCTGTCCTTTATCCAATACTATTTTGTACTACTAAACTAAAAAAAAATGATCTAAAATTTAAAATTTGTGTAATAACCTTATCAAAGTTACTTTTTTATAAAGCAAACTCAAAAGAAAATATCTGATACTTCAAAAATATAATAATAAACAAAAAAAACAATCAAAAAAAGATGAAAAAAAATATATTTTAAATGAAGAAATTCAAGAGGAATTAGAGGAATATGACAAATAGGATAGTGATCAAGAAGAAAATATTAACGAAGAAGAAAAGATATATACACACTTATTTGTAATAACCTTTATATAGAAAAAACCAACAAAAAAATCAAAAAAAGTTAAAAATATAACAAAATCAACTTATTATCGTAAGTTTAGTATCTCTGGAATATTTGTTAAAGTTGCCAAAGGAATTTTTAAAATTACAAATTTCGTTAAGTCTTCAATTTTAGCATCTTTGACACATTCAATATCTTTAATATCTCTGAAATATTCAAATTTGACAAAATTGAATAATATTGAAAGAAACAGTAAAAAAGAAAATAAAAATAATAATAAGGATAACAATAAAAATAACAATAAGAATAACAATAAGGATGATGATGATAATGAGAATAATAATAAAAATGATGATAAGGATGATGATAAAAATGATAATGAAGATAATAAAAATGACAATAAAGATAATAATAAAAATGATGATAAGGACAATAATAAAGAAACATCAATTTCACTTGGTTATATAATTGTTAAACTTTGAAAAAATAAAGCCTTTGAATATAATGAATGGCAAGTTGTTTATGAATATTTTATACATTTATATTATAATCCATCAGGAAATTTTTTCTAGTGAAAACCTTTGAAAGTTAACGTTAACGTAAGTATTTCGCTATTTTTCGATATGTTATCCTTCGAAGGTCTTCGCTAACCTTCGAAGG